GCTGAAGGCTGAGCTGGGCCACCCCCTCCAGAGAGCAGCACGGTGATGGATGGTTCTGAAGGCACCAAAGGGGATTATTTAAAGCACCAGGAAGATAATCCTCCCTCCACAAAAATAAGGAGCAGAAATCAAATTGGGTTGAAGTTGTGCCCGATGAGACGGCAACGCGCACGGCATGGCCACCTTCATCCGATCACATGCTGCCCAGGTGAAGTATTTTCTGTTTTGCTGGAATAATTTGCGCACCAAAAAAAAAAAATAACATGCATTTGTTACTCGTAACTACCGTCGCTTGGGAAGTGTCTCGTGAACAGCTGCTGCTCTGATTGCAGTAATGAATGATGAACAGCAACTTTAATGGGGCTCAGGCGTTTTTTACCAAACACCAGGCTGCTTTGCAGCCAGAGGCAAGGCAGGAGGGGATGGAAAACCATCCAGCTAGAAACTTGTGGGGCTGTGCAAGGGCACAGCAGCATGGCAGTGCCTCTGGCAGCAGCGTGCCCCAGTGCACAAGCCATCTGCCACTCAGCCCTGGGGAATTCAAACGGGCTGCCACTGCTGTAGATGCCCACGCCAGAGGTTAACACCTCCCTCCATCCCTCTGGGAGCAACAGGTCCATCCATGGCTGCCTAATGCTCCTCCACTCCACTTGCGCTCCTCCGTGCCGCTCTCCTCTGCTTCTCTGGCTGCAAATCTCACATGGGATCTCTGCCCTGCCAGGAAAGGTTGATCCCTTGGATTTGTGCCCTGGTAATCCTGGAAATGACAAAAAACCATCCTGGCCCATTCTCTTGTGTGGAGCTCGGATCTCATCCACATGATGAGGATGTGTGACCTCTCCTATAAAGACAGGCTGAGAGAGTTGGGGCTGTTCAGCCTGGAGAAGAGAAGGCTCCAGGGTGATCTTATTGCAGCCTGACAGTACCTAAAGGGGGCTTACAGGGAAGCTGGAGAGGGGCTTTGGACATGGGCGTGTAGTGACAGGACAAGGGGCAATGGCTTGAAACTGAAAGAGGGGAGATTTCGATGAGATCTATGGAAGAAATTTTTTACATTGAGGGTGCTGAGGCACTGGACCAGGTTGCCCAGAGAAGTTGTAGATGCCCCATCCCTAGAAGTGTTCAAGGCCAGGTTGGATGGGGCTTTGGGCAACCTGGTGTAGTGGAGGGTGTCCCTGCCCATGGCAGGTGGGTTGGAACTAGATGATCTTGAAGGTCCCTTCCAACTCAAACCATTCTATGATTCTATGATGCCATGGACAGCCCAGGTGCCAGCCCAGGTCGCATACAGCACTGGCAGGGGCACATGGCTTTAGAGCAGCTGTCCTGTCCAGGCGAGCCAGGCTTTTCACGAAGGTTGGCCACCAAGGGCAACCAGCTGGCTGCTGACCAGCCTTGCTCATCCTTCACCTGGGATTAATGCAAAGGCACCCCCATTGCTGCCCTCCCCACACAGCCTATCTCCAAAAGAGAAAAAAAACAACAAAAAAAGAAAAGTATGGATGTGGCTGCTCTTCTTTCAGACTAGCAGGTGACACTGGCACAGAAATGTCCATGTATCTACATACTTACTGAACTCCTTGATAGCTGAGTACATGTTACTGTCATACCTATTACTGTTATTATTACTGCATTCTACTCAACAGCTTTTCTCACTGTTTTCCCTATTAATGTTGCATATAACAGCGCTGTCCAAATGAGACAACTTAGATAATTGGGGAGAAACTGTATCTACACACATAAATATTGCTGATTATTCATGTCAGAAAGCAAGTCGAGCTCTCTGACGCATCTCCGATCAGAAGGTAAGGAAGACCAGGCCTTCCTGTGCTCTGCTTTGCAGGTCCCTAGAGAAAACCTCAGCATCTCCCTAATCTTTGCCTAATGAGATATTCTACAGCTCCAGCATGAAACCAAAACAAATGAAGAGACAAATATTTTCCCTTTGTACAGTCCTTTCCTTTCCAGGAACAAGAGACAAAGCAACACGTCTGCAGCAAAGCCACATGTTTCCTGAAAGCTCAAACAGAAAACCCATCCCTGGTGACTCGGAGACGCTTTCCCCTCCCTCACCAGGGCTATGGTTGAGCGGTGGTTTGAGGCAGGACCGAGCCATGCCTTGCTGCGACCCTGGGAGTAACTCTGATCTTCTACCCGCCCCAGGTGCAGGGGGAGTTGGCTGCTCCAGGATGCTGCATGAACTGAAGACCAAGATAAATTGTAGGTACGTGTCTCTGGGGCACATCTCAAAGTGCCAGGCTCCAAACACAAACTCCTGGAGTTTCCCTTGGAGGAAAAACTTTTCAAGGTACCAAAAGCCTTCCCTAAACGAATCAATCAGTCTCCTGCAGCCAGAGCAGTCCTTATCTCCTGGATGTACATTTCTCCAGTTGCATCTTCCTTTGGAGTCACCTTGTCTGCAGCAATGTGCAGCTCTACTAAGAGGTCACCCTGCACTCGGAACCCAACTACCCACCACCTGCAACAGTGTTCTGACCAGACCAGGGACACTGCTGACAAACAGGTCCTCTCCCCTCCAGAGAAGCGCTGGTACTGGATAAATCCAAACATGGAATGAGACCTCTGTTCCAGCACTTATTGTGTCAAACCAAAAGCCACCCCATGAGTGCACCTGTGGAGCCAAGCTGTATGTATCAGAGAATGAGCATCACACTCAACAGGCCTGAGGAATGTCTTGGACAAAGGGAGGGTAAGGCAAATTCCACCCCAATACAGCTGGAGAGGATCAGACTAAACCCACAGGCCACCATGTTTTGTCCCTATAACAGCAGGGAACTCATGAAGGAAAGATGCCCAGAGGAGCCCAAGAAGTCACCAACTCTCCCCATTGCACCTCTGGATCTCTGATCCTTCTTCCCCACCCTGTCTCCCCCTTGGCCAAGCAAGGCATTTGCCATGGGCTGCAGGAGGACACTTGTCCCACTGTGCTGCAGACTCAGAGGAGGACGTGAGCCTTCCCATCACAGATCCCTTTCCAAAGCAGGAGATGGGTCAAGTGGGAACTTGGAGGACACCCATGCTCACTGCCAGCTGCAGCCACAAACTGCTACCTCCACACCCACCAACACCGGTGCGTGAGGCTCACATGAGATCCATCTGTGCAACCTTCTCAGCACCACCTACACCACTGGGGAGAAAGGCTCACAGAGCAGCTGGGTGTAAAATCTGCCTTGTCGGTATTTCGGTGTGTTCTCAGCTCCCTCCGTGCTGTTTGTGCACTTGCACAGAAACATCCCAAGATAGCAGCACCGATGCTGTCACTGAAATGACGGGGTGCTCGGGCTTCACCCCGCCTGTCCTGTAACACCTGCTGCACCTCTGCTGTGACCAGCTAAGGGCACAGTGCTCCTTGCCACAGGACCCTCAGTCAGCTTGAGAGCACCGGCAGCCTCTCCTGTCTCCTCTCCTACAGCTCCATTCCCTGCAGCTCGAGGGTAACAACCTCAGAAAAGTCTGGAGCGAGATGTGGCCTGTGCCCCTGCCCTGGAGCCCAGCCCTCCATCCTGCGTGTCCTCCTCCACGTTAGCAGACAGGTCTGAGCCAGAGACAGTGCCCAGACAGCAAGACAGAGGTACAGAACTGGTGATCCCTCTGAGACACTCTTCCCTGGGTCCTGAAGGAGGGTGACAGTAAGGTGACCTCCCCTTCCCTGTGGGGCAGGCCGAGAAGCAGTGGAGCCAGCCAACAGTGCAGAAGAGGTGCAAACGAAGCACCCACCTCCAGTTCCTCCTGTTCTCCATGGCCATAAGTAAAGAGCAATTTGGTGCAGCCTCATGCTGCTCTGAGTTACACAAAGGACCAAGCATGCACCAGTTGGAAAGAAGCTGGAGGAGGGTCAATACAATGCCCTAATACTCAGGCCATCAGATGACACTACTCCTCCACAATGCAGGAGGAAGATACTGAATTTCTGTGGGAATCTTCATCCTACCTTGTTGAGGGTGTTCAGGGCGGCTTGCGCAGCTGCCAGGGCAGGCTCAGCTTTGGCCAGGTCCTCTTCACAGTCCTTCTGTTTCTGCTCCACCTCCTGGGTGATAAGTGCCACTTTCTGCTCCTCCTCATCAGCGACTGCCTTTTCCTTGCTCACTTTCTCAGTCTCCACCCCCACCACCTGGATCAGCTTGTCAGCATCGTCATTCTTCTGCTTCAGCTCCACTTCTTGGGCTGCCAGCTTGGCCTTCAGCTCATCCACCTAGAGGGAAGAAAGACATGTAGGAGCACGGACACTCACCGACCTGCTCCCCACCCAGCCCAGCAGCACCAGCTCGCACTCGAGAGGGGCAGAGCGCCACCCAAAGCATGGAGGGTCTGTGTGTAAAGCCAGCAAAGCCCTGGCAGCACAGAAGGGTGGTGCTTCTAGCTGTTGGCAGGGTACTGCTATTCTCCTTCACTCATGGTTGCTCGGGTCACAGTTGGAGAGCCCACGGTCCACACACCAGAGCAGCAAGGGAGAAACCAGCACCAGCAGGATGAGCTGCTAAGAAGGTTCATAGGTTTCATAGATTTCTAGGTTGGAAAAGACCTTAGAGATCATCGAGTCCAACCGTCCCTAATCCCCATTAAACCATATCCCTAAGTAGATATCCACCCTATTCTTAAACACATCCAGAGATGGGGACTCAACCACCTCCCTGGGCAGCCTATTCCAGTGGCTGACAACCCTTTCAGAGAAGAAATACTTCCTAATATCCAACCTGAATCTCCCCTGACTAAGTTTATACCCGTTTCCTCTCGTTCTGTCACCCATCACTAATGTAAAGAGCCCTTCCCCCACCTCCCCACCATCCCTTCTCAAGTATTTGTAGGCTGTAATCAGGTCTCCCCTCAGCCTCCTCTTCTCCAGGCTAAACAGCCCCAGCTCCCTCAGCCGCTCCCTATAAGTTTTATTTTCCAGCCCCTTGACCAGTTTAGTTGCCCTTCTCTGGACTCGCTCCAGGAGCTCAATATCTCTCTTAAAGCGAGGGGCCCAAAACTGGACACAATATTCCAGGTGCGGCCTCACCAGTGCCGAGTACAGGGGCAGGATCACTTCCCTGCTCCTGCTGGTCACACTGTTCTTGATACACGCACCCCTGCTTACTGTCTCCACTTGGAAACTGGACAGAGGTGCTGGGACAATATGAATGTTGCTTTGAGCAGGTTCCAATGGGAAGTAGGTGGAAGCCTTCATTTCAGGTATTCTTGGGATTACTTTTGCACAGCCCAGGAGCCTCACCATGCACCAGGTGTCTGCAGGACAAGTCTCTCATTACGAAGCCAGATACACCCAGCTTTGAACATGAGATCTGACGTTACATCACATCCCTGGTAAAGGAGGTGGGCACGTGCTGTGCACGCGTGCTTTGCGGCAGAGATGACGTGCTACAATTCAGCTGCACTTTCTTTGCTTCTCAACCTTGACACCAGCAGAACAGAGCACGCCAGTTTCGCCATGTGTTGAGGAGGACCTGTGCACCAGGATCCAGTGCTCTCCAAGCCGTGGGCTTGCCCAGGTGCACCCTGCCACTCACCCACCCCTCCATCCCGGGCCCCACGCGCACGAGGCAGAGGCAGCACCCCCCATCCCCTCCCTCGCAACCATCAGGTCCTACAGACTTGTGGCAGGAAGGGCATTTTTTACACCAGAAAGATTACAGTTGGGATCTGCTGACGGGTACAGCCCTTGCCAGAGGTCCATGGCTCATGGGGCCTGAAAACGTGATGTCAAATGAGGTTGAGAAGGGATGTCCCGTTCAGTTGGTAGCCAAGAAGCACGGCAGTGTTGGCAGCTCCTCACACACTGCTCCACCAAGCACCTGCTCACACCCAGCGAGGTAGGAGCCTTCTTCGGCAACAGGCTGAAGCGTTTGCTTGGTGGGGGAGCTCACACCAGCTCTCCCTTGAAGATGGAAAACCTCTTCCTAAAAGCACACATTTCAATGAATTTACATCGGCTCTGCGCAGACCCCGGAGTCCCTCACTGTCCTGCCATCAGGCTCACAAAAGGTTGCTTAAAGCTCCTGCGGTACGTCTTTACCTACACAAAATACCTTAGCAGCAGGGAAGAAGACCCTTGCTTTTGTTAATCATTCCATTTTTATACCAGAATAACGAGCACAATTTGCAGCCTTATATACTGAAGCTATTGATGTTCGGCATCAGCTCCAAGCGGAGAGCGGTTTCTTAGGAGCCTCTTTGTGCACTTTATCCATTGTCCTCTCCTTCTGCCTGGTGCTACAATGCCATTTTCACCAGGACAAAAACACAACTGTAAATCCAAACGACCCTGGGCTCTCAGGAGCACACAATCCCTTCGGTTGGCAAACTCAGCGGCAGCTTCTTGTTCGGCTCCGCAGCTTCGGGGATTGCAGGAAATTGAAGTAGGGGACTTCGCTGATGGCAGATATGGATTGTGACCTTCTGCTCAAAAATCAGCAATCATGTGCTGGATGCATACACAAATGGGAGCTTTCAGGGTTTCCATGACCGTGACAAAATAAGCAAGGGATCAAAACCCAACCACACTCAACAGCGCTGTAAAACGAGCGGATGTGAACCCAGCACCGCCCGTGAGAACAGAAAACGCCTGGACACAACGTGCTTCCAGCCAAGCACGTGCAATCACAAAGGGTAAATGACTCGCTATAACGCTGTCAGGATTTAAAAAAAAGCACGGAATTCAGTTAGGGCTCTGCCTGAAAGAAATACCTGGAAGCCCAGAAGTGTGTGTTACTCTGAAGGCCCCTGTCCAGCTGAGCTTGGGTTCCAGGTTAAATTCCAAGTGAAAACGATGCAAACTGGAGCTGTGCTGTGTATCCTGAGGTTCTGCTGGACCCTCTGCCAATAGACCACACCACATCTAGGAGACATATGGTGACCTCCAGCCTCCCTTACCTGCAGCAGGATTTTGGAACATGAAAGGAAACAATTGTGTTTCCCCAGTGAGGCTAAAGCTCAACCCCAGTTGAGAGGGGACAATTTAGCGGTGTTTGTGCTGTGGAAAGAGAGAAACAGGAGCTACACCTAAATAACCAAACTCACTGGTTTTAGTGATGTCCTGGGGGTGGCACAGGGAATGTACATTTATGAACTTTACTCCTCCAGTTTCACTCCCTCAGCACAGCAAACACGTTTCCCTGAATGCTGTACTCGCACCCACAGCAAAAACAGTCACATCCATTCCTCCTCCCTTCCCACACATCCTAATGCCCAGACATAAAATGCCTGATGAGACACCAGTGAGCAGGGAGGCCTCATGCCAGCACCTTTGGGAGGGCACAGGGGCAGCAGAAAGCTGAAATGTGCTCCCATCAGTGACCTGTGGAGCTGTTCCTGGTAGGGCAACATCAGGAATAAAGGCATGAAAAGTTCTCCTCTTTCTACAAACGGCACAGTAACAGAAGGAACTCAAATTTCCCCTCTCACCAAAAAGGACTTTCTATCCAAAAATGATGGCAGCTTGTACACAGAGCTATTTTCTGTTTCTTTGGAGAACCCAGATGCTTGTCATATTTCCAGCCACTAAACTACACTTCCAAAGCCCAGAAGTGGCCAAGTCCGACCACCACTAACACAGACTATCTCAGGGTGTGCAGAAAACCTTCCCAGCACAGCTTCTGTCTTCTCTCTTCTCACAGCTTAGAACTTCTCCAACAGTCACATGCAGTGTCCCTCCTTGCACTGACACCCCCCGTACTCCTAGTCCACCTTATGAAAACCAGCAGTGTTATAAACCATCCAGATTAGGAGCAGGGCCATCCATCATCCTTTGAGTGTAGAACTCTGCAGACACCGAGGTCACTGAAGGAGCGGGAGGAGGTGCTCCAGGTGCCAGAACAGAGATTCCTCTGCAGCCCCTGGTAAAGATCATCGTGAGGTAGGCTGTCCCACTGCAGCCCATGGAGGTCCACAGTGGAGCAGAGATCCACCTGCAGCCCATGAAGGACCCCATGCTGGAGCATGCACCCAAAGGAGACTGTGACCTCATGGAGACCCCACACTGGAGCAGGCTCCTGGCAGGACCTGTGGCCCCATGGAGAGAGGAGCTCACACTGGAGTAGGTTTGCTGGCAGGACTTGTGATGCTGTGGGGAACCTGCAGTCTGTTCCTGAAAGACTGCATCCCTGGAAAGAACCCACACTGGAGCAGTTCATGAACTTCAGCCTGTGGGAAGGACTCATATTGGACAAGTTCATGGAGGACTGTTCCCTGTGGGAGGGACTCCATGCTGGAGCAAGGAAAGA